GTTAATATTAACTCCAAACGAGGAAAAACTGGAAATTCCAAACTTTAGGAAAGTCAAGAAAAAAGAATCAAACAACACAGGAAGTGAACAAGATAAATCAGGGAAATGGAAACTTCTTGATGGAAGACAATTACTTAATAAATTGCTTTACTTCTAGGAAAATATTAGAAGACATGCATCAGAAAACGCACTGGGGTACTCAAGCTTTGTGTGATCATTTTTTAAGGAACTATACGTGCACTGGGATTTTTGGATTTAGGATGAATCCTTAATTTCCCAAAGGATAAATAAAAAGCTGAAGAGAAAAACAACATTAGGAGGTCCTGAGTCAGCTCGTTGGCCATTTCAAAGTATCCAAGCAGAAGTTTAGATTTGTTAGGTTGTGGGTTTATTTGTAAAAAAACCCCATTTAATATAGAAGAAAGAGAATATGCCATATGTTAGACAGGAGATTTTAGGAGAATAAAAATCTTTGAAGTATCAGAATGCCCCGAGAAAAAACAAGAAAAGAAAAAGGGAAATGAAAGGAAAGGGAACAGGAGGAAAAATCAGAAAGAGAGTGGGATCCTCTGCAGGTCTTGCCCCCTCCGTTCACGGCCCAGGCACCTGTCCCGGGTCCCGGCTCGCTGCCCACCTCAGCTCCGCCTGCCCCGGTTTCCATCCCAGGTGCGGCCTCACTGCCCAGGGCAGCTCCACCTGCCCCGGCGCTGTCGCTCAATTTGTATGCCCTGCTCCCACTGCCTGGCCCGCGGCCGCTCTGCCGCCCATGCTGAGCAAGATCGGGGTTGCTCTGTCCTGCCGCCTGCTCCGAGGTCACCGCGCCCACCGCACCCAGGGGGGGTCCCAGCCATCCCATCCCCGGCTGCCCTGCCCGTGCCACCTGCGCTGGGCACCGCCGCTGCTGCCGGGCTCTCCCACCTGCCTTTGCTCTGCCGGCAGCTGCCGGATCAGCCGCCATCAGCCATGTGGGGGCTACCCACGCTCCGCCTCGGGCTCCACGGGAAGATCCCCCTCTGCCGATTCCAGCTGCAGACCCTGCTCACACTCCAACCGAGCCTCAGCGGGATATCCTCCCCTGACCCCGTCCTGCTCTGAGTTACATCCCTTTGGTAACCAGAGCTCCGGATGTTCAGGGAAACTCTCTCTCTCCACAGGAAGCACCTTATCAAAACACTAGGAGCTCAGTTAAAAGACAGCCCTCTCCAAATTCTTTCCCAAAACATGGGAGAAAGGCTAGAGAAGGTAAAAAAGTGAAAGAGTTAGATGAAGGGATTGCTCTATTTCCGTTCAGAGAAGTTCCCATGGGAGGGATGCGCTGCCCCGCCCCGCGGGAGCCACCAGCGCCCCTGCCGGCCGTGCCCGGAACTGCACCCAAGGGCAAAGCGCCGCAGCCCAAAGGCCAGGACTGGGTCCCTGCTCTGTTTGCTGTCAGTGCCGCAGCTGTTGGTGTTTGTTTGCTTTATTATACACACTAGTAAAGAACTGTTATTCCTATTCCCATATCTTTGCCTGAGAGCCCCTTGATTTCACTATTCTAAAAATTAAGATGGAGGGGGTTTGCATTCTCCATTCCAAGAGAGGCTTTTTCTGCCTTCCCGAGCAGACACCTCTCTTGTAAAGCAAGACAAGCACCCACAGGCACTGAGGGGGGCTGCAGGAGGGGCACAAGAAGGCCCTGCAGCACCTGGGCACAAAGGCACAGCAGGTGAATGCAAGAAGGGAGCAGCAAAAGGCCAAGCTGAAGGCAAAGGCCAGGGCACAGTTCCTACAGCCCCTGAGGCATCAACCCCAGGGCCCAAGGGGGCCCCAGCACCCAGGGCACGGCTCGGCCACAAGCACCTGGCACAGGCATTGCCCTCCTCACCAGGGGAGAGCCCACCCAAACAGCCCCTGGCAAGGAACCAGGGCTCCAGCTGCAGGGCACAAGGACACTGCAAGCACAGACAGCAGCACCCTCAGGACCAGCAAGTCCACCCCTTGATGGACATGGATTGGCAGGGCTGTCACAGCTCCTATCACACCAGGGACCCTCCACACTGCAGCCCTTGAGAACATTCAGGGTTGGTCTGCATTGAGAGGAGGCATGTCCTGTTGGACACAGGGGCCTCTCAATCCACTCTGAATCTTCGACCTAATGGGGGGGAATGCCAAAAATGTCTCTGATTATTCAAGGGATAAGTGAGAAGGATGTGTGGTTTTATTCAACCACTGTTAGCAGAAGTGGGAGATGGGTCTGAAATGCATGAAGTTGTATTTGCTCCTAATTGTTATCATGATTTTCTGGGAAGGCATTTGATCGCTAAACTCGTAATGCAAATTAATATTATAAAAAGTGATACAGAGGCCATTTCTGTTGTACCTCTGTGCCAAATGTCATGCAAGGCCTATGCTGAAGTGAACCCAGAAGTGTGGGCAGCCCCAGGGAAAGAGGGAAAATTAGATATGGAGCCTCTACAAATTACTTTAAAGCAACCAGGACAAGCAATACCCTGTTCCAAGAGAAGGAAGGAAGGGCTCACAGCCTGGGATTGAGTCCCTGTTAAAGGCAGGGCTTTTGGATCCAAGGATGCCTCCCTACAACGCTCCTATCCTGCCAGCCAACAAACTGGATGGATGGACACAAGGAGGAGGAAACACAGAATTTGCAAGTGTTAAAATGAAGATTAACTGAGGCGGCTGGCCTGGGCCTTCCAGACAGGGAAAAAGAATTTTAATTAGAGGTGGATATTAAAGAGGGTCTTGCCTAAGGAATTCTTGAGCTAAAATATTTAACTCTACATAGGATCTCCTACAGTTCAAGTCTGGCATCAAGTTAAAGATCTGACAACCAAAAGAGCCTCTAAATGGATGAGCAGGGCTCGGTTATTACAGTATGAAACTTGTTCAATGGCACAGGAGGATTTAGAACTGAGGACAGGGCAAGGCTTTAACCCAGCCTCCTGTTTGAACAGCCTGGAGAGGGGCTGGCAAGGAACCCAGGACTGCACTCAAGGGACAGAGCTCCAGACCCAGCCTGGGACAGATTGATGGGACATTCCCTGGCCTGAGGGAGAAAATGTGTTTATGGATGGGTCTGCAAGGGCAGCAGAAGGGAAAAGAGCTACAAGACAGGCTGTTATTATGGAAGGGGAATCAGACACAGCGCAGGTCACCGCCCCATGCTCAGCTCAACCCGCGCAGCTGTGGCTGCTTGTGAGAGCCTGGCACTGAAATGCCCTGAGCAGGAAGGCTTCAACATCTTCTGCTGACACCATGGCACCTAACAGGGGGGCAAAAGCAATACTCACTGCTTCAGCAACCGCTGGATCAGATACCAAGGGATATTCTCCCACAGCAAGCTGGGCTGGCACAGAGCCTGCCCTGGCACTTTGCTGCTGCCAACACCCAGCCAGGACATCGGCTCCTGCCTAAGGAGTGCCAAGCAGCACCACTGGTGGCCAAGGGGCCCATGCCAAGTGTCCCTGAGGCCACAAACTGCCCACAGCACAGCTCAACACAGGGGGAGGTCTCAGCCTGGCCTCAAGGGCTCTGAAGCCCCGCAGATTTGCACTTCCCGCCTGCAGCAGTAGGATGGGAGGCCGCCCCTGAGCCTGCCCTGAAGGCAACGCAGCAGCAGCCAGGGCTCCACAGCGGGCCAAGCCCCTGCGCCTGCCCACAGATCCTCGCCTGGAATCCTCTGCAATCCTGGCCACCCTCCTCTGCCATCTCCAGACCCTGGGGCCAAGCCTTGCTGCCACTGCTGCAGCTTCAGCGCTGGCTGGGCCTGCACCGCCACAGCTGCTGGGGAACACCACGGCACAATTCCACTCTGGGGCTCACTGACACCCACACTCTGGGCTGCCTGCCACTGTACTGCTGCAAAATGTACCGATTTTGGTTCTTTTAAATCTTATTTCTCTGCTCAGGCTTGGTTTGTCTTTGCCTTGGGGAAAGGAATTTTAAAGGTTTTCTTTAAGGGGAAGTTACACCACTCAACGGAGATGAGTTTAACACCTGAACAGACTGAGAATAGCCCAAAAGACACCCACAGAGACAACGACCAGCAACAAAACATCAACATTGCCCAGCAGCAGGAAGAGAAGCTTCATTCCAGGCAGCCTGCAGAGCAGCTTTAGAAATGCAAATGAACACTGCTGGGCAAAGGGTGGACAATGCACCTGGGTCTCTTGCCTGGGGCAGGAATTGAGCTGATTCCCTCTGCCCCTCACCCCAAGCTCTGCCTGCTTGCACTGATGGAATTTGCACAGCTCAAGGCAGAGCCCAGGGGGAGGATATCTGACCCTGCAACACAAACGAGTGAAGCTGCAAAGGGAAACAGCAAATGGAGAATGTTGGGAAAACTTCACTATAAAAAATTGGGGGCAATCATCCCTCTGCCCACTCCAATTTAGAGCACTGGGGGTTTTTTGCTACCAAAATTCAGGGAAATCAGTTGGGTATCCAAGTATTTGATGATTTAATTAGACAAAAGCAGTCAATTGCTGCAGCCCTGGCTGGAAAGAGTGGCCAAAATTGGGGAAAAGATGAACGGCCACCAGAACAAATCCTACAACACCATGGACCAGCCCCTGCGAACCCGAACCAATTCATATCAGGAGCCACAGAACCCATTTCTCATTTCAATGGCATCATTAGATTACAAGCTCTGCTCGGAATAATAACCAACCAGACAGCTCCAGCTCCTGACCTTCCTGGCGACCAATCCACTGAAATGAGGAACACAACACTTCACCATGGGATGGGATCATATTACCTTTTAGCAGAAAAAAAGGGGAGTTTGTGGAAAATTAAATGGCTCAAACTGCTGTTGGCAAAGAGATGACAAAGGAAAAGTGGTGAAACAGATAACAAAGGAAGTAAGAAAGCACCTCATGTTCCAGCTCAAACAGAATGGGAATGGGACACGGTTTTGTGGCTCCCTGGCAGACCATGGGTTAAACGAATGCTGTTTCTCCTCGGATGTGCTACAGCAACTCTTATCTTTTTGCCATGCTCCACACCTTGAGAGTGCAGCTCGTTCGACATCTGAGGGAGGGGATGCAGGTGGCAGCCAGGCCTCCTGATCCAGAAACGGCAACAGAAGGACAGGGAATGAGGGCACTAGGAATAATCCCAAATCCAAAGAGGACCAAGGAAGAAAAAACAGAGTCAATGAGTGAGTCTGCCTGGAGATAGGGCCAGGGACTTGCAGATAAGGAAGTAATGGGAGAAAACACCAGTTTTAGAAAATGTTAGAAACTGACACAGAAAGTTCCTCAAAGTCCCGCTGAATTCCGGAACTTCCTGAAGAACAAAGCCTTTACAGAGCCGTGAATATCGGCTGTTATACAAAACTGGGGGTGCACATTAACACGGACATGCAGTTACCGGACCGGGAGCTCTGAACCTTTCAAGCACGTCAGCCAGTGGGCAAAGGGAGAGGGAAATGAAGCCGGGAAAATGAGGATAAAAAGGAGGCTGCGAACTACAACAACGGCAGAGAGCGCGCGGCAAATGCCCCACGGCCTCTCCCTCTGCTCAGCAATAAAGTCACTTTTACAGGACTCCTCTGTCTCCTCTGCGCACAGAAACCTCCGGCCACGGGAATTCCCCGCACAGCCCCGGGCACGGGGCAGCCCCCTCTGTCCCAGCCACAGCAACCGGGCCGAGCCAGCGCTGCTCCGGCAGCGGCTCCTGCCGAGGCAGCGGCCGCAAGGAGACCGCGGGCAGCCGCTCCCGCAGCGCCCTCACGCCAGCGGCAACACGGGCCGGACACGGCACAACGAACCCGCCCGAGCCCCCGGCCGCCCCCGAGGCCCGCAGCCAGCCCCGAGCCCCCGCACAACCCAGCGCGGCTCCCACCTGCGCTGCGACCGCCTCCGAGCTCCGCCGCCGCCTCACCGCGCTCCGGCCGCTGCCGCCGCTCGCGGGACCGCACACACGCTCCGACAATGGCGCCGCTGCCGAGCCACGGCCGCCCTCAGCCCACCACCGGGGCCCCTGCTCCGCCCCGCTCCCACCAATCAGCGCGCCACAACCACGACTGACGGCACCATCGCCCAATCCCAGCCAGGGGCGGGCTCTGCACACGGCACAGCCCCGCCCCGCGCTCTCAGGGTCCCCCGGGCTGCGTGAGGGCAGAGCCGGAGCTGAGGAACAGCCCTGGAACGGGCCCGGGCCCGAGGGGATTCAGCTGAAAACACAAACAAACTTCTCCGCATCTCCCGCCACGGCTTTCCCGGCACTGCGGCTCCGGTGGCTCCGGCTCAGCGGGAAGCCCTGGAACCTCACTTCTCCCACCCCTAATTAGGAGCACCAGGGCATCGCTTTGATTTTCCCCAAAAAGGGAAAACCGCCCCAAACCTCTGTGGATGAGTGGGGGAGGGGAGAGATTTCTGACAGAAAACTCCAAAATCTCAGAGCATGATAATGAGAAGTGTGCTAAATAGGTATGATTCATACTGACAAAATTGAAACAGCAATCAATATTTATACAGTAATTAATATTTGGCAATAATAAAACAGTTAAAAGGTGTAATGCCAAGAAAGAAAGGGGAGGAGGGGTTTCATTCCCCCCCACTTTCCTGCAGATGTTCAAGGTAGAAAAAAGCAAGAGATAACTGTTACTAAAAATTAACAGAAAGAAAGGAAAATCTGGTTGTGTCCCAGGAAAATGCTAGTTATAAGAGATTTATTGCTTTGATGCTTAAATATAATATTATGTTCGTTTTGGCTTACATTTTACTGGCTTGGTGTGCATGTGTAACCCAAGGGTGAATGAAAGGACATCGAGGAAGAGGAGAGGCCTTCATCAGTGATGACCCCCAAAGACGGGTATGACCACCAAACCGAGTGGTGGAGCATGCGCGGTAAAGGTGGTGATGAGGGCGGAGGTAGAAGTGCGATGAATCTAAAATGGGAGGAGATGGCATTGACCCATGGCACAAAAGGGGGAATTTTCCCTTGGCAAGCTCCTACGTGAGGTAGCAGGGGTCCAAGGGCCCTGCACTCCGTACCCCTCGCTGTTTGGTTTTTTTTGCTAATGCGCTATTATTGGAACCAAATTATCCCTTATTTTAACCAAATTACATTGTCAATATTTCAAGTCTATCCGATTTTATATATTCTAAGCTATTCAATGAAAATTGCTGCTACCTTTTATAGTGTTTGGTTTTTTTGATGATGGGATAATTGGGCAAATGTAACACCACTCTTCTTCCTCTCTCAGGCCTGCTCCAGCTGTGCCTGGCAGCTCCAAGCAGGGCCCTGCACCCAGGCCCTTTGCAATAAACCCCAAGTTCCATGACCTGGCTTCAGAGATCTCTTGTCTCTCTCCATCCCGACCATCCTTCCCCTGTTGTCCTACAAAAATACCCCAAAAAAACCCAAAATTGCAGCCAGAGATCACAAAATTACCCCAAAATACCCAAAAAAATCCCCAAACTCTGGTCAGGGACCATGAAATTACCCCAAAATGGCCAAAATCTGGTGAGGGACCGCAAAATCCAGTCAGGTATCCCAAAATATCCCAAAATCTGGGCAGGGACCCCAAAATCCGATCAGAAGGCCAAACTTACCCCAAAAACACCTGAAAATACCCCAAAATCCCATCAGAGACTCCTAAATTACACCAACTCTTCCCAGAATCCATTTAGGGACCCCAAAATTACCTGAAAATACCCCAAAATCCAGCCAGGGATCACAAAATTCCCTAAATGCCACAAAATCCAGTCAGGTTCCCCAAAATAACCCCAAACCAACCCAAATCCAGTCAGGGACCCATAAAGTCCACTCGGGGATCTCCAAAATTCCCTCAGGATGCCCCAAATCTAGTCGGAAACTCCCAAAATCCTCCCAAACCCACTCAGAATGCCCCCAAATGCCCTCACAATCCTCCTAACTACTCTCAGTACACCCAGGTCTCCAGCAGGGCCCCCCAGTCCTCCTCAGGACCCTTAAAAAGCTCCTCAGAATCCCCCCAGATTTCCTCATGATGTCCCCATATCCCCTCAAGACCCCCCCAGATCTCCTTAGAGCCCCAAAAACCCCCTCAGGATACCTAATTCTCCCCCAGGACCCTCCATATCCCCTCACCACGTCCCAAACCCCCTCACAACCCCTCCAATCCCCTCAGAAGCCCCCAAATCTCCTCACGACCCCCAGTTCTCCCTCTCGATCTCCCCAAACGCCCTCGGAACACCCCACATCCCCTCAGGACCCCCAGTTCTCGCTCAGTCCCTCCCAATCCTTTCATAACCCCTCCAAACCCCCCCTCATCGCCCCTCCCCCTCTCCCCGCTCCCGGCTCTGACCGCGGTCGCTGTCGCCCATCTCGCGCTGCCGGGGGGGGTCCCGGGGCTCCCTCGGCGCCCGCAAATTCCCGCCCCGCCCCCTCCCCCCCCTGCGGCCTCAGCCCCGCTCCTCCGCCGCTGGGCCCCACCGGGACCACAATGCCCACAATGCACCGCGGATTCGCCGGAAGCAACTGCCGACGCCAAAGCAATGGGAACTTGTGCCAGTACTTCTGGCCGGCGCGGCTTCTGATTGGTCCGCGCCGCCTTTGGGGCTTCTCGCCAGAGGTCTCGCGAGAGAAGCAGCGCGGCCCTGTTTGTTGAGGGCAACTCTGCGGGCTCCTCAGAGCGCTCCGCGTTCCCTCGTAAATCCAGCCGGGAACGGCGGAATTAATCCGCCTAGAGATGGTGGGATGGAGCCTAAAACCCCTTCAACTGAGCCTAAATCCCCTGGGATTCAACCACAACGGCCAAATCCAGGCGCTTTCCATGGATAGGGGCGGTACTGGAAAGGGCGGGCGGTGACGTCACCTCGCCCAACCCCTTTTCCAGCCCCTCCTGAGGGGGCTCCGCCTTTTCCCGGCGCCGACCCCGGGGCCTGTTCTGGGCCGGGACCGGAGCTGGTGTCGGGGCTCCTTCGCCAGCGGAGCGTCCCCAAGGTGTCCCCAGTGAGCATGGAGCCCCAAGAGGTGCGACGGTGGGGGAGGGGGCAGGGGGCAATGGGGAGCACACGCGAGCGACAGTGCGGGGTAGCAGAGGGGTCGGGGGATTGACAGAGGGACAGAGGGGACAGCAGAGCCCTCCAGGAAGGGGACAAAGGGGAGCCCGGGAGGGCACAGGGGTCATCGCAGGAGGCCGTAAGTGCCACTAGGTCCCTGACACTTCCTCTGTCCCCTCCCCAGCTGTCCCCGGCCCTGCTGCAGCCACAGGTCACCATGGTGGCCATCCTGGGCGAGCTGTTGGCCACCCTGCGCAGGGCCGAGATGACTCTGCTCGTGTCCCCATTGCACCTGAACTGGGACCTGATGGACTTCACCAATGAGCTCCGCAACAGCCTGTGCACTGATGAGACCTGGAGGCACCGCAATGTCACGTGCGATGATGATGACCCTTTCACCTCTGATGATGATGACCCTCCCGCCTCCCTGAGCCAGGCCCTGGCCGCCTACAAGAGCACCCATTGGACCAGCAGGTTCGATGTGCAAATGGTGGCCTGGGAGTGGCAGCGGTCAGTGGCTGCACTCAAGGACAGCTGGGCCCAGCTGGCCAGGACGGCCACCAAGCTCCCCAATGCCTGCAGAGATTTGGCCACCAAGGCGGCCGACATGGTGACCACCGCCACTGCCCGGGCCAGGGAGCTGCAGGCCAAGACTGCCCATTATTGGACAGCTCAGGAAAACATGGTGGAGCTGGGTCAGCCCCTGGGTGGGGAGGAGAGGGCCAATGGTGGCCAGACGTGAATCCTGGGTGAGGAGAGATGCCAGGGTGGCTGCTAGCCAGGCAACAAGGGCCACCATGGTGAGACAGCGGCTGGAGGTGGCCCTGGGGCTGCTGGAGCGCTTGGTGGCCGCGTGTGACGAAGCCACCGCGTTCCTCTGGGAGCTGCAGCACAGGGTTGGGGACATTGAGGCCTCCCTGAAGGGGACAAATGAGGCGTCACCTGATGTCCCTGAGGACTTGAGGGCCAAGGTGGCTGTGGCCGAGTCGCTGTGGGAGGCCTACGCCCGCCTGGTCAAGGATCACCTGGGGGGGACACTTCATGACATCATCGAGTTCTATTACGGTTGTGGTCCTGACAGCCCCCATTGTTGCTGGGTGGCCAAGCAGTGCCAAAGAGCCATCGAGGACATCCCAAGGCTCCTTCGACCCCTGGAGTGTCCCCAGAGCGTCCCTAAGGTAGCCCCAGTAAGCATGGATCCCCAAGAGGCGCGATTGGGGGGGGGGGGTTGAAGGGGACAGAGAGGACACTGCGGGGGATGGGGTAATGGGGGATGGGAGGTTCTGGGGGGTGGCAGGAGGGGACAGGGGCTCGTAAAGGGGACAGGAGTGAGTGGCAGGCGAGGGGGAGGTGCCAGGGGAGGAGACATGATGGGGAGGGGGCAGTGATGAATTTGGGGGGACATGGGGTGGTGGGGACATGGGGGCTGGCAGACAGTGACAGATGGTACAGCAGGGGTTTTCAGGGGCTAGGAATGTGGTGGCAGGGGGTGGCAGAGAGGACAGCAGTGGGAGCAGTGCGGTGGCAGAGGGGACAGCAGATGGGCAGGAGGCAGGAGGGGCTGCGAAGGGAGGGGCAGGGGGTGGCAGAAGGAAGAAGAGGCTGACAAAGGGATGCAGGGGACAAAAGGGAACCCATTGGGGCCACAGGGCCACCCCAGGAGGCCACAAATGGCACCAGCTCCCTGACACCTCCCCTGTCCCCTCCCCAGCTGTCCCCGGCCCTGCTGCAACCACAGGTCACAATGGCGGCCATCCTGGGCGAGCTGCTGGCCACCCTGCCCAGTCGTGATGAGATGAATCTGCTGCTCACGCCCTCAAGGCACATGTACTCGCACCTGGGGTCATTCAGCTGGCAGCTCAGGGCCATCCGGGACTGCATTGAAGTCCCCTGGTGGTGCCACAATGTCCGCTACGATGGTGAAGACCCTTTCACCTCCCGGAGCCGGGCCCTGTTTGTCAGAGAGAAACCCCCATGTTCCCCCTAGAAGCGTGTGACAATGGCAGCCAGGAAGTGGCACAGGTCGGTGGTTCCGCTTGTGAACAGCTGGGCCCAGCTGGCCAGGACGGCCACCAAGCTCCGCAACGCCTGCAGGGATTTGGCCACCAAGGCGGCCGACAGGGCGGCCACCACCACTGCCCGGGCCAGGGAGCTGCAGGACGAGGCTGCCCGTGATGGGACAGCTCAGGAAAACATGGTGGAGCTGGGTCAGGTCCTGGGCTGGGAGGAGGGGGCCGAAGTGGTGGCCGGGCATGAAGCCCAGGTGAGGAGAGATGCCAGGGTTGCTGCCAGCAAGGCAACAAGGGCCACCATGGTGAGACAGTGGCTGGAGGTGGCCCTGGGGCTGCTGGAGCGCTTGGTGGCCGCGTGTGACGAAGCCTCTGTGTTCCCCTGGGAGCTGCAGCGCCTGCTCAGGGACATCGATGCCACCCTGAAGGGGACAAATGAGGTGTCCCCTGATGTCCCTGAGGACTTGGTGGCCAAGGTGGCCGTGGCCGAGCAGCTGTGGGAGACCAAGATGCACCTGGTCAAGGATCACCTGCTGGGGGCAGTTGATGACATCATCAAGGTCTATTTCACTGGTGGTCCTGCCTGCCCCAGTCCCTGTGAGGTGGCCGAGCGGTGCCAAAGAGCCATCGAGGACATCCCAAGGCTCCTTCGACCCCCAGAGTGTCCCCAGAGCATCCCCAGTGTGTCCCCAGTGAGCGTGGAGCCCCAAGAGGTGCGATGGGGTGGGGGGAGAGGGGGACAGAGGGGACACTGGGGGTGAGGGACAGTGGAGGATGGGGGGAGATGGGGGATGTGGTGGGAGGGGACAGGGGGTTGCAAAGGGGACAGGAGGCAGTGGCAGGAAGGGGAGAGGTGACAGAGAGGGGGAGGGGAAATGGTGTGGGGGGATGGGGGTGACACACGGGGATGGGGACATGAGGGCTGGCAGAAGGGACAACAGAGGGTGGCAGAGGCTACGAGTGTGGTGGCAGGGCCTGGCAGCAGGGACAGCAGGGAGGGTGGCAGGGGGTGGCTGAGGTGATGAGGGGGTGACAAAGGGACAGAGGGGACAGCAGAGCCCTCCAGGAAAGGGACAAATGGGATCCCAGGAGGGCACAGGGGCCACACAAGAGGCCACATGTGCCACCAGGTCCCTGACACTTCCCCTGTCCCCTCCCCAGCTGCTGGAGGCTCTGGTGTCCGTGGTGGCCACCCTGGGCGATGTGACAGCCACCGTGACCGGGCCACACCGGGGCGTGCGGCGCTGTGCGCCCCCAAAGTTGCTGCACGCGGCCCTGAGGATCTTCACCTGGAGCCTCCGTAAGGGCCTGGAACACCCCGGTGTCACCTCCCTGGGCCAGGCCCTGGCCACCCTCACGGCCACCCCTGGGGCCACCTGGGCCGATGTGAGAGCCGCGGGCAGCGCCTGGCGGGAGTTGGTGTCTGCATGTGAGGAGAGATGGAAACAGCTGGTCGAGGAGATCACCAAGCTCCGTGATGCCTGCGAGGACGCGACCCTCGCCTGGGCCAGGGACCAGCAGGACAAGGCCACCCGCAGGGGGACAGCTGGGGACAACCTGGCAGCCACAGCCCAGCAGCTTATGGTGGCTCTGGACAGGGATAAGGAGGCCTCAATGGGGGCCACACGTGATGCCCAGGTGGCAATGGCCACCAACGAGGCCATGGGAGAGGCCGTGGTGGCCTCCAGGCGGGCGAGGGCGGCCATCAGGAGGAGACATTGGGCAGAAATGGCCGTGGAGCCGCTGCAGCACTTGGTGGATGCGTGTGACAGAGCCACTGAGTTTATCAGTTACATGGAGTGCCAGCTCAGGGACATTGAGGCTGCCCTGGAGGGGACAAAGGAGGCATCCCCCAATGTCCCTGAGGACTTGGTGGCGAAAGTGGCCAAGTTTGAGCAGCTGTGGGAGGCCAGCGCCCGCCTGTTCAAGCATCACCTTTTGGGGACACTTGGGGACATCCATGACCTCCTCTTGAGTCCCTGTAGTGGCCACGGTGGCCCCAGTGGCCCCGGCAGCCGTGCAGTGGCTGAGCAGTGCCAAAAAGCCATCAAGGACATCCCAAGGCTGCTGCGGGGACAGTGATGTCACCACTGTGATGTCATTGGTGCAGTGATGTCACTGGAGAGACTTGTGGACAGTCGAGTGCCACCAGCTCCTTGAGTGCCACAGCGCTGCGTGTCACCAAGAGCCCCTCGAGTGCCACCAGTTCCTCAAGTGCCACCAGCTTCTCGTGTCACCAAGAGCACCTCAAGTGCCACCAGCTCCTTATGTCACCAAGAGCCTCCGGAGTGCCACCGGTTCCTCAAGTGCCAC